AAGTTCCTGTCGAATATTTTTTTAGTATTTTGACGCATGTGTTTCCTGTGTTTTTATTTTTGTCAACGATCCGTTTATGCACTGTTGATTTCAAATATCACGGTAAAATGTTTACAAAATTAAAAGATACAATAAAATGTAGGTATGTTTTTATAATAACTATCGTGAGACATACTAAATTAACTATAAATCGTGGGTTACTCACGTGAATATACTGAGAAAAGCTCTACTAGTTTCGAAGCACCGAGGGGATCTCATGGGCTGCTCATGAGGAAGAACCCCTCTGTGGTTCGAAACTAGTAGTGCTTTTTTTAGTATATTCACGTGAGGAACCACGATTTTTAGTTAAAATGTAGGATTTTTTTTTATTATGTCGTGGTTGCGGGTTCGACTTGTACCAACGGCAACTACCAATGTGACTTTTTCTGAGTTATATATACTTTCCAAGATTATCTAGACACCACTAACAAACGGTGAAGGAAAACATCGTGAGGAAATCTGACCTTATAATTTCTAATTATAAGTTTGTAATCGCCCCAACCCACATTGAGTAAGCGTGGTGATTAATGCTTAAACCTTCTCCGTGTGAAAAGAAGCCTTTGCGTTGATAAAATAAAAAGCGCTTAGTATACAGTACCGAAAATAATTTATTACTGTAGGATATAATATCTAGGTAAGTATTTAATGCAACATCACAATTCAAAATAATAAAAGATGTTATCGAAGAATTTACTATTATGAACACTAAAACTATTAACCATAAAACGTAACTTGACACTATAAATATTACAGATGACGACAAAATTTTATTATTAAAAATTTCATAATCTGCTTCTTTAAGTACCGAAAAGTTTCCAGACCGTTTATGAGAAATATTTGATGTTTAATAAATTTTGGAAGGTGAAAAACTTGAACTGAAGAATAGTGTTCTTTTAACTAGTGATTAAAACTCCTTATCGTCTATCTCAATGAGACCAGCTGCGTTCGAGTAGCTTATTAAGTCATTAAAAAAAACCAGTTTCAAATTATACTGACCAACAGGTGGACTGTTTGCAACCCTTTTACTCAAAAGTTCTTTCATATCAAGTTCTATTGAGCCTACAATGAAGATAATGACAGTATTATTTTCTTATATCTATCAACAAAGATGGCTGAAATCCGATATTATAATAGTCAGGATTTTAGTCAAAACAAAATCAGCGTGCTTTGTTGGCGATCCTCTCCAGCCGGTGTCGTATTCAAGAGGGTTGAAAGTATGGTTGGCAAATGCATCTCATGCTGATGCTTGATGAATAAAAATATTGTCTCAACTCACAAAAATACATAAAGCATTCATTTGTTTGAACAATTATGTAAACGCAGCATTTAGTTTTAAGATAATAAAAGTAACTACGATTGTTGAAATTGCTATAAGTTTTATAGAGCAATTATAAGTTTGAATTTCATTATCTTATTTGCGAACTAGTCTAGAACTCACAACCAATTCAATTTGTTTTTTTAAACTTTTAACAATCCAATTTTTTTTCTGTTGACCCTCTGACAGAAATTTTGCGAAAACGGGACAAAAGATAGTGTCTCGTCGACAAATAAACAGCATTATACCACGGAATCGAGTTACATGTGTCGAGTCATTTACGCCCCCCACAATGGCGTCTATAGAAAGACCCCCTTTGTACTACCGTATTCACATCGAGAAAACGTATGAATTTTTTACTACTAAATACGAAGCTTAGGGAAGGAAATTTTGGCTTCCTAAAATCTTCCATTTAATCGCGTGAATAAGAAATGTATTTCGAGACACGTGTTCTGTATCTGTATCTGTATTGATATTATGAAAGCAAGGTGTGATCATAATCCCCTTATTATTACATTCTATAAATAAGTACATCTACCTTTCTGTACTTTGAATATTTTGTGTGTAATCTTTGATTGACAATTATTGTTTCCTCGCTCAAATTAGCAAGCATGACAATAAGATCAACAAAGAAATTAAACATATTTGGATTTGAAATCATGTGTTACAACTTTTTATCTGTATACCTGTCTACTGGTTTATCATTCATTGCGTTAACTGCAAATGTCATAGTTGTCAACAATATTAACAGATCACTCACTTCTGAGAATATTTCAATCAATTAGTTGTATTCATCTTGCACATCATTCATCATCATTGCATTCATACTTTAACATTAAGTTCATCTGTAGATATTTCGTTTAAAAACAATTAGCCATGTGTGTTCTCTTTTAGAACATTTTTATTTTATTGTAGTACAGTGACATGTGCTATAACATCCTGCGTATATGATAACAAAGTCTACATAAGTCCATTGTTCTTTATGTCCTTATTTATTTGGTACATATGTCTTAACGTCACGTCGCAGGACAAATTCCTACTTATTTCGCCTTTTACCTAATTAGACCTATATCATTTGCGACAAATTCATTTGTACGTTGTTATGTCACATCATTCCAGTTCCAAGAATTCCGAATATTATGAAATCATAATCAGAATCTATACCTAGCTATATATACTTAGGTACTTACTTATTAGGTTATATTAATTAGTTAAATATTCTTACGTACTTAAGTAGGTATACTTAAGATATTTCTAACAACATAACAATTTAGGAGCGAACATAATTATACGACCGTTCATTTAAGTCTAAAAGAGACAAACGTTTATACCAGTGTGGTCTCTTATAAAAGTACATGTAAAATTGCAGTGAGAGGGAGACAGAATAAGCTTACACGTCTAATAAAGGAAGACAGTTGTGATCATGCGGGACAATCGACCAGATTAGGTCAGATGTTGCGAAGTGGCGTGTGAACACTCTCGTCATTAGAAGCGGGTGAGAAAATTGTACTATGGGTGATGACAATAAGTGTAGACAAAATATTATTATGTTGGTGATGCTGACTAACATAGAGCCATTAGGTACCTACAAAGTTAATGATTTTTCAACGTCTGAGGAATAGTCCCTATAAATAGTAGTGTTATGCGGTCAAAGTTCTATAAGTATACCTATGCTAATTTAGATAGATTAATTTTTTGCACTCACTTTCCGCAGTAGATCCTAAAATAGCTACACGTAGCTATAGTGGTCGCACAAATTACTGAATTATGGACACGTATGCCTATCTCAATATCAAGTTTGGTGTTTTGATATTGTTATTTTATCTTAAAATCTATCTAAATACTAGCCACTTTAAAGATCATCCATTAGTAAAATATTTGAATTCCATTTAATGACTGGAATTCACATAACGCCCACGTTTTAATAAATTCTAATCACACACTTAATGACGTCATACATTCTAGACGAAATATTATAAAGATATAAATTGTATTTGTTTGTGTGTCCCCCGTTTTAGAGATTATCTCCAAAACTGCTGGTCTGATTTGAATAAGACCTTCGAGTTGGGGATTTTGTTCTGTAAAGTGAGGTATTAGTAGCAGAAAGTATTTTAGGCTTACTTTTATGTACATATTTGCTTTGAGATTAGGGATTGTGTCGTCGTCTGTCTGTTTTGATGGAGTTTATTGCTTATAGTGCTATAATTTAAATCTATAAGAAAGCTTCTTATTTTGTGAAATTATCCTACTCGTTCATATATCGTTCAAAACTGTCTTCTACTTAGCTCAAGTGTATGGTAGCACAGCTTAGGATGAATGTTCATTTATCGAATATTTTAACATAAGCACGGTAAAATGTATTATGTATTGACATTGCATATCTATGTTAATAAATAACAACCCTACAGTGCATTATTACAATTAAAAAATATTTACAATAACTTCGCAAAAAACAGAATCGCAAAAACATATCTATCATAAAGAATACATCAATAACAGCATTTCCCATATTCGGATTTTATCCGTCAGAGGGATGCCTCATCCGACAAAAGCCAACACAGGGTAAAATAAACAAACACGCTGATCCCTAGCATCAAATTACGAAATATTGTGCTCTGGTATACAATATCTTTGTACTATACGCTTTTATATCGCAATCTATTATAGTTTCGGTCTCAAATGACAACTTAAACAGATTTCAGTGATATCTTTGCAAGGCGACGCCATCTTTCTTTTTATTGGCGGTAAAATGTTTAAAGATAAAATGGCGGATTTTAAAGATACGTTTGTAATGTCAAAAATATTATTTGTTGAATCATATTTTTTTGAAATTAGAACTTTTTCTAATTTTCTTGCAATTTTGTGTAATTGACACGTTCGATTTTTGTTAATTTCAGACATTTAATGGTAATAGTGTGAATAGATTCGGGTTAAAGTCTTTGTTGCTGTTTTTATTAATTGCATGAGAAATTTATTACGCCTATAGGTACTTTTTAGACTTACTAAAACCAAAATCTAATATTTGAAAATAAGTACTACAGTTTCCCGAAATCATAACTTTTGGTCAAAGAAAATGACTTTTAGCTAGTTACAGGCTTCGCAGATCGTAGATTATACATCTCATTCGCACTGAAACCAGACTACCGAGTTAGTTGTCTATTCCATAATATTTAAGCCAAATATTTGATCTGGATGTCAACCCTTATATACTTCGGAAGGGCTAGGGAACGTACGAATAAACACAAATAAAAGGCCAGAGTGTACTAAAATAAATATCGATATGAGAATAAGATATATGCCACAGAGGAGCAAATAAAAAACCAAGTAAATAGACGGGATTCCCAAATGTCGAACCGAAAAATAAATATGATATTTCATAGTCATATCATATTTTCAATTTCACTGGAATTGATTTAGAACAAAATATTGCTGTATAGGTCTATGAGTCTGACAATTTTGTTGTGAAATTAATGATTATGAAGTTGTATTGCGAGACAGTGCCTATTTAAAAAATAATGCTCACTTTTGACTAATTGAAAATAACTGTGTCCTTATTTATCTACAATGCGGAAAAAGTAGAAAATACAGGTGGATAATTTATGCATATCCTTTAATAATAGTATGCATAAATAATATTTCTTCTTACCGATTGTATTTTTTTCATTCAAGTCTGGGAGCAATATCTGAAAACAAAAGAAAACAAATATAAGGTAAAATCCTATAAAATCTTAATTTGCTTTGATAATATAACATCACGCCTTTTTTATCCTCGAAGGGGTTATTATGTCACTGTACAATGTAACACCCACTTTTCACTATTTATGTTATGAGTCTCATGTATTAGGGGGTGAGCCTATTGCCATATACCGGGCACAATTCCAGACTCCGTGCTACTACTGAGAATATTTTTTTTATAAACCCAGTGATACTTTGCCCGACCCGGGATTCGAACCCGAGACCCCTTACCCGGCAGTCGCACTTGCGACCACTCGGCTAGCGAGGCAGTCTTTGCTTTGAATACAATTTCATTTCAAAATTCAAAATTAATACCTATAAGTAGGGATAGAAAATGAAATACATAAAAGTACTTTTGAGTAACATTTTATTTCGACTTCATAAATCGCTAAAACTTTAATGCACAATCAGTTTTTTAAAATTCAAAGGAGTTCTCAGGTAGACGGTTTTTTGAGAGCCCCTAAAACCGTTTGGGGTTAAATTCGCTTTCACGGTAAATCGGTTCACTAAATAAAAAAATCTTTTCGAATGAATAAAAAGAGTGTTTTTTATATCCGTGACCTGCGCTGCGCTTATTTCCAGAAGACTTCACGAAATATAAAAAGTACCTACTAGTCAATTTATTTGGAATCGGTTCCGTAGTAGGTATCGATGATTAAATTATATTTATTTATTTTATTCTCACAAAACATTGTGTAAATGAAAATGATCTGAATGGTGAAAACCAAACATTTATTCATTTTTAATTTTATTTTATATCTACATTGATTGTACTCTAATTGTTATATATAGTTTCTAAGATAAACTAGACACCACTGACAAACGACGAAGGAAAACATCGTGAGGAAACCTGGGCTTATAATTTCTAATATTATAAGTTTGTAATCGCCTACCTGCATTGAGCAAGCGTGGTGATTAATGCTCAAACCTTTTCCGTGTGAGAAGAGGCTTTGCTGAGCAGTGGGGCACTTATAGGCTGTTGATAATGATTGATGATGTACTGTAATTAGACGTTTTTTTATTTACTTAGTACCTAGGTATATATTTATTATATTATTTAATACTATTTTGCAATAATTCTTGTTTTTTTTTTAGTTCCAATAATGTAATAATCACACACCCATGCTTAATCCTAAAAGAAACCAGCTCTAATATTGTTTTATTGAACAACAACGTCTCAACAACAGGGATTCCGTCAGCACCCGTTTACTACGGGATCCGAAGAACAGCTTAACTTTGAACAATACGATTTTTTCTTAACAGGATTATGTATTGTATTAAGTTATCAAATGGATTGTGAGTTTTTTTTTCTTTTCTTCAAAAAGGTAATGTTACGTAAAGTCTTTGCGAGGAAGGAAGGATCTATAAAGAGGTACTTATTTGTATTTATTGGCATTCAATAATGATGATCTCTGGTGGGTTAAAAGTTATGATCCGGAAAGGATGATGTAAAATTAAGACATCTTTTTGGAGATTGTTTTATTAGAGTGCCTCATTGGCCGAGTGGTCGCAAGTGCGACTGCCGGGCAAGGGATCTCGAGTTCGAAAAATCTAGTTCATGCCTTAAAACTAAATTTACTTTTAAAAAGGAATTGTTTATAAATGATGTAAATAAAAAAATAAAACATAAACCAAAATGGATTTCAATAAAGGGGTTTGTAATCGTATTTAACTTTTGATTCAAAAAACTCTAGAAGTAAAGATTTACAAAACAATTTTCAAAAATTCAGTACCTACAGTTTTATTCGTAAGTAACAAGAAGTAGTTAGTATAAAATAAATTATTGAATATAGACATTAAAAAAAAATCACACATTTTTAAAGGACACTCTAACTCATCATCATCATCATCATATCAGCCACAGGACGTCCACTGCTGAACATAGGCCTCCCCCAATGACTTTCAGATAGGCCGGTTGGAAGCGACCTGCATCCAGCGGCTCCCTGCGACCTTAATGAGGTCGTCTGTCCACCTTGCGGATGGACGTCCTACGCTGCGCTTGCCGGTACGTGGCCTCCACTCGAGAACCTTTCTACCCCAACGGCCACCGGTTCTCCGCGCTAAGTGCCCTGCCCACTGCCACTTCAACTTGCTAATCCGCTGAGCTATGTCGGCGACCTTTGTTCGTCACACTCTAACTATGAAATTGCAATTGTTAAAAAATTATAAGAGTAAGCCAAACACAGATGGGGCCCAATAGGGCTGTTGCCGATTCGGAGTCGCGGAGAACCTAACGGGTAACCGGGGCTCCGGCTCGCCGTGCAGGAGAAGGAACTTTTTAGTCAGTAAGAGTCTGACACTCCCTTTCGCCTCACCCAGGCGGGAGCAGTCATTGGATGATTTTGCCCCTTAAAAAAAAAAGAGTAAGCCAAACCTGATGTAACTATTTTATCATTTAATATTCACTCATACATAATTCTCTTTACAAGGCCCAGTTCAAGTGGAGTTCAGTTTTAATAAATTCATTACAGACCCATTGGTATAAATCATGCGCTGTAGCATTAGGCTGCTGGCGCACTAGACTGTAACGACTATGGGGACACTAATGGTTGCAGTGAGTTGCGGTCGGGATTAATTTTGTAACTGTGTTTAGGTATGTTTACTAAAGACAATGAAGATTTGTCGTTTGGGCTTAGTTTGGTTTGTCTTTAGATAATCTTAGTGGTGATATTTTGATGTTCAAAATTAAGAAAACATGTTCTTTAAATCAGAAATGTGAAGGTGAAATTGACACTTAGCTCTAGACAGATATAAAAAATATTGTACTTCTGCTCGATCCTTATTTTCACCAAAGTACATTTATCTGAAAAAAGTCTGGCAAGGGGTCTCGGGTTCGATTCCAGGGTCGGGCCAAATATTATTGGGTTTTTAAAAAAATCTCAATAATAGCACGAAGCCTGGAATTGTGCTCGATATATGGCAATAGGCTCACCCCCTATTACCTACATGGGACTCATAACACAAATAGTGAAAAGTAGGTGTTACATTGTACAGTGGCATTAAGTGCCGTAATGTGCACCTCTGCGTACCCCTTTGTGAATAAAAGGCGTGATGTTGTGTTATCTGAAAAAACTGCCTATCTCCAGTTGACGCAGTTTTCAAACAATACTTTTTTTAGAAGCATAATATAAAATATGGGTTTGTATTATTCTTACTTTTTATGAGAAGGTAGTTTGGCAAACTATCAATCTGATTGAATCTCTCATCAAACAAATCTAATTAACGAAGTCAACACAGCAAAAGTATCAAATAAAAAAAAATCTTATCAGACTTAATAATTTTACACAATAATTTAATAAGCGCCAACCACAAACCGACATTACAACTCCACCGCAATTACACCTCAGTGTTTAAGTACCTTAAACAAAAAGTGTAGCAAGGAAGAGATCACGACTGAACAGCGGCCATCATAAAACGTGATGCACCAACAGAGAACGGTCACGAAAGTTTACGAGCTGATCCCTTTTATAAATCGACAGTTTAAATATTTATTACCGATATTATTGAAGATTGCTTTATCAATACTATGGTGTTGGTCGTTGATTTTGCTAGGGGTGTTCGAATTATTTTGTTTTGTTTTTTTTTGTGTTGTGGGTTTTAAATGGTGTTTTTTTTCGTTTAGACGTGATGATAAGTATTTAGATTGAAAGGTTTATAATTATAAATGTGAATGTAAACAAAACGTCTCCTACAGGGTTTGGTACTAAAACATACTACGATCTCATAGTAAATTCCAATAAATCTCATAGCGTAGAATAGGGATGATAACAGGGTATGAAAATTAAAAATCTAATTAGTCCGTAAGTTAGATAATGAAGAAATATTAGTCACGTATTTTTTTATTTTGTCGTATAATAAAACAATACTTCTATTAAACGAATCAAAGTTTAGGAGTGGCGGCTAAAACGTTATTTCTATGTATAAAATCTACATAGAATTGACGTCACGCGACATTTCAAATTAATATATCGTCGAAAGTATATGTTTCTATAAGAAAATAAAAAATACGTGTCTAATGATTTAAAATAATTTACCAAATGGATATTAAAATAAAAATTAGGCGTCGTAGGTAGATATACATAATTAAGACACTATCAGCATTTCTTAGGGTAATAGGGTCATATTTGAAGATTTGCTGTATCATTAAGAATCGATAAACTCGGAATTACTCTAAAGGCAGTCAGTCTTCTATTAAAACAAAACAATTATCAAGTTCATCTACTGTTGAAACAAAATGTTAAAAAGGACACACACAGATTTCTCAATGCACTTCCACTTGACACCGGAAACGCTTTCATAGAATCAGAGTCATTTAGCCACGGTACTGTGTAAAGTGGCCAACATTAGTCACATCCACAGAATAACGGTGTAACAATGTCTTAGAGAAGAGAAATACTGACCACTCACTGAGAGGTTGTATAGCCGCATTGTCTTTGTAACTACGGACAAGCCTCAATGGTCCTTTAGAAAACATACTTTTATTTGCGGTTTACTACACAACAAAGTAATAAGTGAAACCTTATTGTGAGCATATAAAGTTGTGTTTGGCAGTGGAGTAGAAATTGTGCAGTAAATGTATGTTTGTCGGAAGCACTTGTACATGTCATAGTTGTCAGTTAATTTTTCGAATGTTGAATAGGTGCTTTTTTTCAATATAGTACGCTAAAAGTTTTGGAGTGTTCGTACAAAAAGGGCTTGTTATTTTAATGTTGATTGCCGTTTTGTCTTCGATTCTTTTTTTTTTAAAGAATTGTCTGTCAGTGTGGCCGATTGTTACAAGGCTGAATGGCGATGCATTTTATTAATATGTTGTTTTCGAATCTCGATGGGGTTTTGATAGACACATTATGAATTATTTATTAATGTTAGATCGATGTTAGATGCGGTTTTTGCGTGACTAAGCATTATTATACTTACTTTTATTTTTGAGGTTGTGGTAGTATTGGTT